GCAAAATCTAACAAAACCTCTACATCTGAAGTAACACGACACCAACCATCCAAAATCTAACAAAACCTCTACACCTGACGCAACAAACACACCAACCAGCAAAATCTAACAAAACCTCTACATCTGAAGCAACACAAACCAACCAGCCAAAATCTAATAAAACCTCTACATCTGAAGTAACACAACACCAACCAGCCAAAATCTAACAAAACCTCTACATCTGACGCAACACAACACCAACCAGCAAAATCTAACAAAACCTTTACACATGAAGCAACAAAACATCAGCCAGCCAAAATCTAACAAAACCTCTACAATTGAAACAACACAATACCAGCCAACTAAAAGCTAACAAAAATTTTAAACATAACATTAGTCACAGTGGTTGTTACTAATTATATATTTTAGTTTGGTGCCTGTTTTTCGGGTGAATCTAGTGTTTACTGTAATGTTATGTTTGGTTATATGTTTTTCCAGGAGTTAATTATTTGGTCACTGATATCTGAGTTGTAAGTTATCCAGCAATGTAGTGTTTTGTTGTTGGTTGTTTAATTGACTTTTGAATTGTTAGTTGGTTTCCCATTGTGTTGTTTGTTGTGGTTTCTGTGTATAATTCTTTCAACGGTTTATTTACAATGTCTGTAACATTTGTTTTTGTGTTTTTACAGTGTGTGGAACACCAAGTGTTTCTGTGTAGTTTACAGTGTGGAATTAAGATGGTTACATTATTTAGAAGTAGGTGATCATAGAAGCTATTAACCATGACAACAAGTGTTTCTGTGTTGTTTACAGTGTGGAATTAAGATGGTTACATTATTTAGAAGTAGGTGATCATAGAGGCTATTAACTATGACAACAAGTGTTTCTGTGTTGTTTACAGTGTGGAATTAAGATGGTTACATTATTTAGAAGTAGGTGATCATAGAAGCTATTAACCATGACAACAAGTGTTTCTGTGTAGTTTACAGTGTGGAATTAAGATGGTTATATTATTTAGAAGTAGGTGATCATAAAGGCTATTAACCATGACAACAAGTGTTTCTGTGTAGTTTACAGTGTGGAATTAAGATGGTTACATTATTTAGAAGTAGGTGATCATAGAAGCTATTAACTATGACAACAAGTGTTTCTGTGTAGTTTACAGTGTGGAATTAAGATGGTTACATTATTTAGAAGTAGGTGATCATAGAGGCTATTAACTATGACAACAAGTGTTTCTATTTTGTTTACAATGTGGAATTATGATTATTTTATTTTATTTAGAAGTAGGTGAGCATACAAGCTATTAACCATGACAACAAGTGTTTCTATTTTGTTTACAGTGTATGGAAGTGATAACTTTTTCATCACAGAATTTTGTCACGAAACATTATTACCAAGAATTCCTAAAAAGTCTAATACTTCAAACTTCTGTATTTCTGATCAATATAAATATATATCATTCACACGAAACATTGTTATTCTTCCAGGAATTGAAACGCTTGAATTATTCATTTATGATGAAAAGACACGTAGTTGTCTAGTATATCTAACTTCTCTAAAGTTATAAATATACACGTTCTCATTGGCGTTTGGTCTGAATAGGTTGAAGTTGTATTTTGATGACCTCAAGCATTAGGGCGAATTGAAATAGAGAATAAAGGTTGATAGCAAAACATAAATGTGTTCAGTAAGTTGACATGAAAACACAAATGTGTTCAGAAAGTTGACATGAAAACACAAATGTGTTCAGTAAGTTGACATGAAAACACAAATGTGTTCAATAGGTTGATATGAAAATATAAATGTATTCATTAGGTAGGTAGGAAAATATGAACGTGTTCAGTAGGTTGGTAGGAAAATATGAACGTGTTCAGTAGGTTGGTAGGAAAATATGAACGTGTTCAGTAGGTTGGTAGGAAATTATGATCGTGTTCAATAGGTTGATAGGAAAATATAAATATATTCAGTAGGTTAACAGGAAAATATAAATGTATTCAGTGGGTTGATTGGAAAATATAAATTTATTCAGTAGGTTGATAGGAAAATATAAATTTATTCAGGGGGTTGATATTAAAACATAAATGTATTCAGTATGTTGATAGAAAAACACAAATGTATCCATTAGGTTGATATTAAAACATAAATGTATTCAGTAGGTTGATAGGAAAATATGAACGTGTTCAGTAGGTTGATAGGAAACTATAAACGTGTTTGTTCAGTATGTTGATAGAAAAACATAAATGTATTCATTAGGTTGCTATGAAAACATAAATATATTCAGCAGGTTGATATGAAAACACAAATATATTCAGCAGGTTGATATGAAAACACAAATGAAAATATCAATGTTTCGTTTTTACAAAATCGCCAAAACAGCTAATTTAAAAATTGAATTGAACATGTGAATTTACTGACACTTATTTTATAACAACTCTTTATTGTAAAAAACATTAGGCCTAATGTTCACGTTAGTATCAATGTTTTAAAACTTTCTTTATTTAGGTTTCAAGCCTGTTCATTTCTTTTTTTTTTTTGTTCTTTCTACTCTTAATTATTTTAGACCTTCTACTTTTCAATACCTTTATATTTTTTTTAGTGTTGACTGTAACGTGATGTGAGTTTTTTTTGTGGGATCTTTTATAGGGAAATTAACATACGTGCAATCTTAGGATTTCCGATAAGTTCAGTATTTTGGAATTATAAAGGGCTGTGTTCAAAGAAATGAATATTTGGAATATTAGGAGAACGAGTTTAAACAAACAAACAATTAACCAACGTGCTTTGTTGTATTTAAACTGTGTTTGTGTTAAGTCCATGAAAAGGACAAAGTTGCTAGTGTAAAGCAGGAAGTATTATTACCGTTAAAATAGAAATATACTGTTTAAATAAAAAAAGAAGCTAAATACGATGCGGAAATAAATAAGGTAAATATTAAATGCAGAAAGTATTTTGAAATACTCGGATACTAAAAAACGTGAATAACTTGAAACAAACGCTACGGGTAGACTTATTATGATATATCTTAACATTATAGATAAAAAAACATTAA